ATATTGAAGTTAACTTTTGGTATAGAGATCGGCTGGGTCTGCTACATGATATAAATGAAATCCTGTGTACGGGATTACTTTTACGTATGCAAGTTCATCTATTCATTGTTTTCTCCTTTAATTCTGACGTAATGTCAGGCAGGCCGGCCGGCCATGGTGTTGAGCCTGGTTCATGCCTTTATCTCATTTCTTTATGACAGGTGAAGTTGCTCATTGTTAGCCAGGCAAGGGCAGCCTGCTCTGCCATTGATTTTCACGCACCTAACCCAATTGACAGGAAATAATTGCTGCGCAACACATCATCCAATTAGGCCCCCTGCAGCGCAATTTACAGACATCCCATTTCCCCTCCCTGTCCAAATTCATTTACCCACAATGCCGGTACATGCGTGCCCCTTGGAAAAACACACCCTCTGCTAGAAAAAGACACGAAGTCGTGGTCGTTGGCTAACTGCAAGTTGCATTGCACGGCCTAGCACGGCCGGCAGTGGGGCACACTTGCGACCCCAGAGAAACATGCTTTGCCAATCAATACATGCTCTGCGCTCAAGGGTCTCGAGACTCTCCAAATATGTCCCTGATAACTTCTACTGGTTTGTGTTCCAGAGTCCTGAATAATATTTCATTGATTTGCCAATGGGTGTTGAGCTTAGGGTACTGATAATCAGGGAGAGTAAGACGGACTGAAACAAGGGAAGTGCTTTAAAGACACTACAATTTTCAGCCAGCGTGGGGGGCTTTACATGCTTAATTTGTTCCATTTAGCCAGTGGGTCTAAAATGGGCAGAGGAGAGAATGTGGGAGAGAAAATGAGCATGGGTAAGAAGCTCACCAAAATCGATTATTTAGCGCTCATTCACTTCAGGCTGTGCATGGAAGTGCTCATATGGGTACATGCACGAATAATGAGGAAAATTTGTTGCATTGCACTAAGCATGGAATATCTTGTATATTGGGAATCACAGTCATAGTGTATGTATTACATGTATGAGATTTACACTTACAATTGTAAATGATTTATCATTGGTTATGATTTTGCACCAGATGTTAGAAAATCCTTCCATGATGATGATATACGGTACAACTACAAGTCTTTTCTATATAAGTCTCCAGTAAAGCATGATTATATTTTAATGACAACTTACTACTACAGTACCATAGTTATGATGTGCCATTCATGTTGGCAATGGATGATTTCAAGGTAGGCCTACATCCAGCAGAATGTATCAAGTTCTCCTAAAAGTTTAGGTTGCAGAGTTCCTTTGAGTTTTGTGCACTTTTTTTGAGCTCTGAGCAACTATCTATTTTAGGGGCCTTACTACATTTCCAGGTGATGTGTTTCATAAAGCGTTGTGGGTTTTACGAACCGACGTATTGGCACGCGCAGACCGAAAATGGAAATCCAAGAAAATCGCGTTTGAAGATTTTAATATTTTTAGTCATCGTTTTCTGTGTCTTATGTCTATCCAATTATTAACATTTTCATATAGTAATGAAAGTGGAAGTTGCCCTTGCTTGTCGTTTTTAAATTTTGATGTACATTCTTGAAATACGTGAAATTTCTTACTCGAAACATACTGCGTCGGTTCGTAAGACCCATCGTTTAATGCATTTTCATACGCTATGTAGCTAAGCGAGTTACATGTATCACGAACCGTACGTAGTGCACACTACGCCGGTCAGAAGACCCAACGTTATATTATTGCACGCGCATGGTATTGCGTCGGTTCGTAAAACCCAATAACGCGACTTCACGATGTTTCGGGTATTCTCGAAGCGTAATTCTGAGAATTTCTTGAAATATATATATTTTTAATTCCCAAATTTTGCCATTTGGTAGAGTTTTCATATTACTTTCAATTTATAACAAAAAGTCGATATTGAAAAATTGGGCCAAAATTACGTATTACGTCGGTTCGTAAAACCCGCGACGAAAAGAGATACTACTTTGGTTTCACAAGCAACTTTGCCTGCATATCTAGTGTGTATTGTGGATTAACCTTCCACTGAGATGAGCCTGGATTGGGTTGCCTCTAGTACACGCTGTCACATAGAGACAGACCTGGATCTATCAATGGAATACAACATAATCCGGCTGACAAATCTCTCAAGATTTACTGGGATTTAGAGCTGGAGCTTCTCCCCATATTCTTCACCTATTTCGTTCTCTCCAAATAGTTTTTTCTTCTGTCCTTTCCTTTTTTGCTTTGTTCTCAAAGTACTGTAAGATGGAGTGCTTGCTAAATTTCTGTCTTGTTATCTTCCTTCTTATATATCCTTCATCATGGACCATTACAAAAAAATCTTTGTGGTCTCCCCCTTTTCTCCACCTTTTCTCCACCTTTTCTCCGCCCCTCACCACCTCTTCTCCCCCACCTCCTCTTCTCCCCCACCACCTCTTCTCTCTCTCTCTCTCTCGCTCTCTTTAAAAAAAATTATCTCTCTCTCTTTCTTTATCTCTTTTTCTCTCTCTTTCTTTATCTCTCTCTCTCTCTCTCTCTCTCTCTCTCTCCCCTCTCCCTCCCCCCTCCTGCTGGGGGTAATGCTAAATTTTATTGTGGTTAGTTTTCAATATGTTTTTTGTGGCCTTAACATTCATGTAAGGGTGGCTCACCATCTGTTCAAATACTGATTTCATATTGTCCCGTTTCATCATGATCATGTTTTATTTGTACAAAAGTGTCCGCCTGTCTCTTAATTTAACAAAATTCCATAAAGCTTTGAGGCTAGCCTAGCCCTAAGTTTGCATTCCTTGTACGTAGGAGAAGCTAAAGTACAGGCTGGGCCAGGGCCTACAGTATGTTTGAGATTCTCATGTATACAATCTCCATACTTACACTTCAGTCCCTGTGTTATGCATCAGACTTACAAGGATTTGTGCCTGCAAACTAATATCTCACTTTCTCTTGTTAGCTTGAAATCTGAGTAAACTTACAGCGCATACACATTTTTGTTGATGTTTTGGGGAGATATAGGATTCCACCATCTACTGTGAATAGGATTCCTTGTTCTAGGTAGTAATCTAATGACTGAGAATGTACTGTGAACCCAAGGCCTAACGTGCCAGTCCTTGGTCCTCACAAGTACCTTCCAATGTCACCCCCATGTCTGGGGTACTTGGCTTGTAAGCCCATGTAAACCCCAACCATGTATGTCATCCTCTCTGACTCTGGGTCTATCCAGATGAGAGAACCTGGTAGAAGATATGATGTGAGTCATCATGACAGTGGTAAGATGGCTCTGACAGTATGGAATGTAGTCCAGCTACACCCCAACACTTGTACTTTTGCCTCTGGTAATAGTCATGAGCAACTTTGTAATACTAGTAATTAGTATCTCTAGCCTTCGAAATGATATAGAAATTAGAATAAGACTGATGGTTGTATCACTGTCTTCATTGTAAACCCCACAATATGTTTGCTGTTTCTCATACCCCTAGGTGTCTTGGGTCAGACAGTATGGTGTCACACATTAGCATATTCCAGCTTTTTATCTACTTTTGCCCATAAAACTGCGTAAATATTAGATGGAATGTATATCCTATTATACTTCCATTGCAATTCCATAATCCACATCAAATCAAAGCACTATGAAGATCTTGTTAACCATAGATTTAACTATACAATGTTTGTAGAAAGACTTCTTACCAAACATGGTGGCATATTTGGAAAGAGAGAGAAACTTGCCTTGACTGGTATCAGATATAAATTCTCAAATGGGGATTGACAAGTTTAAAACCCTGCAGTTGACGTAGCACCTCCCATGTCTCTTTCCATTTGTCATCTTGTCATCTGAGAAGGCTCTCAAATCACAAACTTTGCTTACAAGCTTTGTCGACTGGCTAGCGTATCTCCGCACATGTAAAGGATACTGGTAGGGTAAAAAATAGTAGAGGGTGTAGGATGTGTATTACTTACATGAGAAGGGGCTGAAAACTAGAGAAGAAATGATATAACATAGTTGTCTTGTCAATTTAGATTGTTCTCCCTCTAAACAGACAGGCTCGTCACTAAACCAGACTATTATGTTATTCTTGAGCGTCATTCTTGACCATATTTGCGATTCTTCAGACATATGTCCACTTCTCCAGTGATTACAATGAATGGGTATTAGCTTGTCTATTGGGGAAATAAATCAGACACATGTATGTAAGATTGACAAGACTGGCAAAATCATTGTTATAAAAACTTCCTGTAAATTGACAGGTTTGTTCATCTGTATGTAGAACAGGACCAGTCAACCCACTTAAAATTCAGGTGGGTTTTTGCCTGCCATTCATCGTTTCACAGTTGAAACAAATTTGAATGAATGAAAACCTGTGGCAGTCACTGTCAATTTTCCGGCAGATTTCCTTGTATTTGCATGTATGTTCAAGCCTGACAGGATCTGTTCTTCCGATCTCATTCGCATGCTGAAAGCTTCCCTGGAAAGTACAAATATGGCCTCTCTTCTTTTTGGCTTTTCACTTGTTCATATCCAGAGGTGGGAAGAAGCCCAACTGGAAGTGACATGAGGCAAACAATAACTATGGGAAGGTAACATGTACTTCTGGCAGCCAGGGGCGAGACTCAATTTTGAGCAAGAATTGTCATTATTGAAGTGAATATGGCCATGAATTCTCTATGCTGGTGACCATTAGGTAATTCCATGAGATGCCTTGAAGGAGGAAGGGAGGTGACGTGTGTGTAACCATTAGTCTGATAGTGCCCACGGCATCCCAGCTACGTATGAAAATTACAAGTTCCCCCCTCTGTATATTGTACTTCAAATGTTCGTTCACCTTTGCATCAAGTATTTTATTTATTAGTGTAAATTTCCTTCATTGATTTGATGAAAATTCTCGCATGTGAGACAAGTAGAACTAAACACTTGTTAGCATGTTCGAGTATTACAGTAAATATTGAAAAAGTAGTCTAAATTCTAGTTGAAACATAAATCACTTTTTTGTTTCTCTAAATTTCTCTTTTGATGAGTTCAATTATTGTTGTCTGTCATTGCAGGGCCACCAAAGATCTCTGAGCAGGTGAATGGCTTCCGGAAGGCAGTTCAGGGGCGATCCATCAAGCTTCCATGCCCTGTAACGGGGAACCCCCCACCCCTCATCATGTGGACCAAGGATGGGGTCACCATTCACAGTGGCTGGGAACGCTTCCGGGTCAGGTCAGAGGGTCTCAAGGTCAATGACGTGGTGATCGAAGACAGTGGATCCTACATCTGCAGGGCCACAAATGGATTTGGGAGTGTCAGCGTCAATTTTACATTAACAATTACTGGTGAGTTTAGTTTACATGCAACCCTGCCAGAGATGATAATAAGTGGTTAATTTTTTTTATTGGAAGTCATCAAACTACTGACGATTAAATCAGGTTAATCAGAGTCTGCTTCAACGCTCATTATTGGAAAATGGATGGCCCAAGTTTTGTTCCCAAAGGCCCCCCCCCCCCCAACACACACACACATATATATATATATATATATGAAAAAAAACGATTTTGTGTCAGTATGAAACATAGCCATTTCTTAACAAAAGATAAAGATAAAAACAAAATCTTAAAACACACTTGAAAAAAAAAATCCTCCTTTGTGTTAGAAAATCCCATCCCATGAATAATATAATGCATTAGTGTGTAGCATGAACAAAAAGAGATAGAAAAATCCATTATTTGCACCTTTCAGAAGAAATCTGAAAAGAGCTCCTGTATATATATATATATATATATATATCCATTCTTTTTAATACACTTTCCATTACACTAGAAGGAAGTGAGGAGAGAGAAAGTGAAGGAGATAGGAGAAATTTAAAGGGCAATTCAACCTTACTATTAAGTTCACTTTTAATGAGATCAGAGAAACGGGATGGCGAAAGTTTGAAATTAACTGGACCAATAATAAGAGAGTAATGAATGTTTTATATATGAGATCACTAAAAATATGTGAATCTCAAATTGGAAGTTTTATCAGTGGGTTGTGACATATTCATGGGGATAAACTCTTGTTTGTCTTGTACAAAAATATAATTAATTTATGTTTTTCTCCGAAAACCCTTATCCCTCAGAGCAGTAATCAAAATATATTATGGAAAGAAAAGACCCTCCGAGTCATACATTTTTAAAGTTTGAACATTTCTGTTTGTTTGTGTGTCAGAAACAATTGGGAAAATTGTCTGCCACAACATCACAATGACATTCCTGATTCTGTCAAGTTGGAAGTTCCCATCCGTATAGTGATTACAAATTTCAAAAATTCATAACGTTCTCATTTTTAATCGGATTTTGCTCAAACCGTCACTGACCTGTTGCTCTTGTTTTTCTGCTTCTATTAAAATCAACTTTTTATCAGGGTGGACTTGCCCTTTAAGAAGGTATTTCCTTTTAATCTTTCTCGAAAATTGACAAGGTGGTTGACCTTAGACCCAGCCCATATGTTCATATCAGCATGTGGTTCAATATTGCTATGATGATATAAGAAGGATTGTTGTTTGATATGACTATTCTGATCAAGAAAACACATGTAGGGTGTGTGTCTGTTATGTTAATTGTCCAGATGTCTTGTCACTTGAGGTCTCATGATTGGCTCAAACCTGTTGATGACCTGCTGTAGATGTCATTACCAAGTTGAGGGAGTTGATGATGATGAAAATAACTTCATACTGCCAATTGTTTGTCCCAAGCTATCATTTTCCATGAATGCACATGTTTTTTGTGCTCTCTCGGCCAAGACATCTGTCATTTCAAGTATTCAATGCAGACGATTGCGATTAGATTGGTGCGTTAAAAGACATGTGGAAAATACCACAGTAGTATGTATTGGTAATCTGTGGAAAAGTTGCATTATAAATGAATCACTTTCTAAATGTAATAGTAGTCAAATATTCAATTCATAATACTTGCAGTAATAACTTTACATCTAAAACATATGAAGTGGAGAATAAGCTTTTCACACTTTTCACATCTAAAACAGAAAAAATGGGTAAAAGTCATGTTTATTATGTTTTAAGTCCTGCAAGGAAATTACTTTGCATTGTATTCACAAAAGAGATTAAGGATAGTTAAAAAATAACAAGAAAAATCTTTGGATGCCTCTTCAAAAAATCAAGACATAGACCCCATCCTCACTCACATTGTTGGACTGGTCTACGCAAGACTAACCAAGTACGGTCGGTTTGGTTTCACACTCATCACAATTTGTACACTAATGTTAATGAGACCTATGTGATGCCATATCAATAGAGGCTTCTTTTGTACATGAGCATGAACAAATAAATTTATATTGATGAAAAATTGTGTTGAAATTGACCCGTCTAAAAGGTATGTGTACATGAAAATATCAAATGACATGCAACCTAGTTCTCCTCATATTCAAAGATTTCAGACAAGAAACCAGAAATTTTACATTTACATTGCGGTATATTAAGCATCATAATTCTGTCCAAATTGAGGTTTTATCACAACTCAAATATTTCTCTTTATAGTTTAAACCAGTCTACCTTTGATTCCTGGCCTGAATTCCATATCTGTGGATGATTTAGGATTTATTATCACTTCAAATGATAGGTTTATGAGTTTGTCCCTTTCCACCAACCACTTGTCTCCTAGAACCTGCTAAAGAAAGCCCAATCTTGTCCTCCAATAGTTCAACCATCATGCGGGCCTGTTCACACAATGGGAGAAGATTTGACATTTAAATTACAATTCATATCTCACCTTTTGCTATTTACACATGGACTGAGGATATATGTGGGATTTCAATCGTGAGTCATCTTTCATTTTGATTACAGCATCATAGTTCTGTCTAAATTGAGGTTTTACTTCAATTAAATTTACAGATGTTTACCTTTGGAGTAAAGGTCTATACAAATCAATTTTCTTGTCAGATTTCCTGTGACATTTATTGCAACTTAAGGGGCATTTACACTGTAAGCAAAAACCATCCTCACATTCCCAAGTTTTGTCAGAAGTTGCTAGATAGCTATCCATAAACCAGACCAAAAGAACATTAAAACCCACCTCTTGAGTATTTTTTTTCCAATACCAGCCAAAACTTCACCATTTTTTGTAGTGTCAATACTCACTAGCTCTCAAAGTCAAAACACCAGCGAGTTATGCAAAGCTGCGACAAGTGGCGCATGCGCACAACTCACAAAAAACTAGAATTATCAGACACCAACAATTTTTTGTGGGTTTTTTTCAGCTGTGTAAATGGTAGTTTCAAAAAAAGTTTTTTTGCAATGTAAATAGGCCTATTCAATTGTTTATTCGCCAAAGAACACATTTATAGTGCGATTTTAGTTGCAATTAACAAATCTTACAAATAGTTTGTGGTGCACACACAAAGAAGAAATGAGATTTGTTGGCCCTGTAACTTGTATAGTTGCCTTGAATATCAAATTTATGAAGGAAAATATGGAGGGAAAAAATGAATTTGTTTTGGTGTTGTTGTTGTTGTTGCTTTTTTGGTTGTTGTAGTTGTTGTTGTTATGAATAAGTTTATTTATTGATGATGAAGTGTCCAAAATCTTCAAGTAGAGATGTATTCTGGGAATGACTTCTGTGTTCTAAATAAGATCAATGTTATATAAAGATAATTTCCTAGCTTGCTTAAATGCTGTAAATAGTCTTCTGATTGAAATTTGAGGTGATTTGAGGCAGAATTTTCTCAGAAATTGTTAAAATGACATTTCCTGGGATTAGAGTTGTGGGAATAGGCCTGGAGCACACAAATTTACAACCCTCTTGAAATTTGTGAAGAGTCCTATGACCTGCTATAAAATTCTCGAGCATAAATCATGACTCTCAACTTACAGCTCTTTGCAGTGCCTCAACATATAGGTAAAGTGGCTGCTGTACAGCACAATACTAAATATTAATTTTAAATGGCTGTTGAATTAATTGGACCTAATACATTGCAAACAGAATTAGACCATAGTAATGTGTTTATAAGAATCAGGCCTGATAAAAACCCGATTTAAATCGGTTTCCCGATTTTTTTTGATTTTTCCCGATTTTTTCCCGATTTTTTTTTTCTTCCCGATTAAAAAAAAAAAAAAAAAAAAAAAAAAAAAAAAAAAAAAAAAATTACCAGATTTTTGTTTTTCTTCCCTTTTTTATCCTGATTTTCCTGATTCCCCCCTTATTTTCTCTATTCTTCCCTATTTTGCCCTATTTTTTCTCCCAATTTTCTTACTCGAAAGGGGGGAATGTTGTTAGATGCCGTTTTTTCCCCGCGAATCGCCTTTTTTTTTTTTACTCAAGGGGGGCGTGGTTGAGGGGAAAACAAAAAACCTATTTTTTTTTTAGTGCTCACTATCACCCCTGAAGAATGTTCACAGCTGAATTGAATTGCATGTACATGACTGTAGGTTCATCAAATTTCTCCAATTTAAACAAAATCGAAATTAGCTCTTAATCTTACAGTGTTATCCAATGCTCTTTTGTCTTATTTTTAATTTTGATATTTGAAGATTTTTCCTTAACATTGGTTGTGAATTGCAAGGAATTAATCAAAGCTCTGAGAGGAAGACTTGCATTCTTCTAGACTTCTAACTCATCACATTGTATCAATGTATCTACATGTTCAAGTCGGGTAGAAATAAAATATATAACTCACATAAATTCCAAGGAAATAGTCACTGCAGTATTATAATCTGAATAGTAGCCTACTGAATAGACAATATTTGCTAAACAAATGCAGGTATGAATTAGACATGTAATCAGCAAATACAAATGATTAACACATTAACAGTTAATGAGTGTTTTAGTGAATGTCCTTCTATAATTATCACATATGACTAATTTTGTTAACACTTTTTCTGGTAAAACAAGGTTTATGTCATCATTGATTTAGATTGACTTACATGTACAGGTTCCCCCCCCCCCTCCAAATACAGTTCATATCCAAAATGTAAGATTACCTTTAAGGGCCTAACTTTCTCTCTATACCATTGGGTGAAGATGAAGTGAACATCTGAGCATTGCGATTGGAACCTGATCTGACCATCTCTCTCCTCAAGTAATATTTGATATCTCCTTGTAATCCGCTGCACAAACTATTGGGTGACATCATCAAAGATTCCTCCCTCTCCGAAAGACACTCCAAAATATCGGCTTGGCGATAGGGCACGATTATCCTACTTCTAAGGCTGATTGCCACTATTTGCATCATCCTAAAACTCCCCCCCCCCTCCTTCGCCCCCTCAGGAATATAACAAAGTAAAAATGATAAGAATTATTCCATTTTTTATCATTCATACCCATGGAACAAATAGTTAATGATA